GAAGATTTGTGATAGTTCTCGGGTATCCCGGCCGCATAGTTCCTCTGGAAATTTTTATGGCTCGTAAATTTGGCATGGGATTTTTTGGGGGTTAAATTTTGATCCAGGGATTTTTTGGGGTTTTGTTTGAAGCCCTACGGATTTTTTTGGGTTTTGATTTTTGCCTATTCGATCATCCCTGTCACTTGAAATTCGAAGTGACACCGCCCCCTTGGATTTCAGCCTCCCTCAAGTTGATGCCGCGCATTTTATATAAACAATAGGATACGCATCACTAATGTATGCCCTGCGGGCATGCACAAGCTTGAATGGCGGACTCTTATGACCTCACTTTACTCCGCTCTTCAAGCTTAGGAACACAGAACGTTACTTAAAGAGGTTCAAAAGGTCATCGTTTCTGATCTGTGATTGGTGGATTTCGATCCGTTTTGTGTCTCTGTGTTTCAAGGGTCGTTTCTTGTGATCGTAGTTTTGATTGACGGTGTGAAGGCGGCTTTTGAACTTTCGAGTTCGCGTGTTTCGCGTGTTTCTATTCGTCCAGTCCTTGAAACACTCAAAATGTGTTCCAACCCTATTCGGATCGGGGGTCCCACAGGTACAATCGCGTGAAGAAGCCCTACACACCTACATACAGGAGGCAGTCTTTGTTCATGACGAAACAAAGGCTGTTGTTTTCAAAAGCACTGGTTTCGAAATTCAGTGGAAACCCCTTGGGTGAAGTCGGCGAAGTTAGTTAACCCTTTAAGCCCCAATATCCACACACAAATTCTCCAAACTAATCTCTATACATTTCCTTAAAGAATGAGTTGAGAGAATTTGATAAAAGATCAAAGTATTTTCTCTTGGGTGATTATTTAATTAATTCTCATAACCTCAGCTCATCATAACAGTGTATGGATATCGTTAGGACAAAATTGCTGTTGGTCACTATTGGGACTTAAAGGGTTAAAATCAGCAAGAAAAGTGGGTAAGTTGACTTTGTTCATACTAATCATAGCCTGTTACAGGCGTTCAGCTGAGAGATAAATCGACTACATTGTCTTTCTTTCGTCTCGTTAATTATTCAAACTGCTCACCACAGCACCGTTACCTCAATGATCCTTCTATACTACAGTTACCACATGTTTGGGTTAAGAGTCGAGCCCTCTTGGCCTAGAAAACTGAGTTCACACACATAGTCTCCATGGTAGATGCGATTTGCGTGGAAATCATTTTTAAGACCGTTTCAACACTACCGATTTTAGAAGAGAGCTATAGCGTTAATTTCACGTTCATTCGTGTGTGAAACGCCGAAAAAACGCAAGGGAAATTTCATGAATCGAAAATCTAGATCTAGCCGGGGTCTCAAGGGGTCTTGTTTTGAATTCATACACTCTTTTTTTTATATAAGAATGTTGTTTTTCCGGCCCAGGCTGAATATTCTTATTTTTCTGCCGATTTTAGGCTGAAAATATTCTTGTATTATTCTTAAATTATAGCTTATGACATTTCTGTTTTAGAATTTATTGGGGTATATGTATATGTATTACATGTACCGTTCATCGAACTGTCATTAGCATTGAACATTTTGCTATAGCTAGTGCAGGTTTTTTCGTTTTGTTGGCTAGTTTCGCCGTTCAGAGAAAGGAATAATTTTATACGGTTAAGTTAAAAACTTAAAATTGTATTGTATTTACAGATGTTTCAACACACAAAATTATATCTATCCTTTTCAAAATCTCAGCCTTGGCTTTATTCTTAAAATATTCTTAAAATTTCGCAAATTTCAGCCTCGATATTCTTATAAAATATATTCTTATAAAAAAAAAAGAGTGTATTTCATCTTTGCAAATCTTGTGGATTGAGTTTTTTGCATTTGGAAGAATGTCTGTGGTACTGCTTACAGACAGCGCATTCAAGCTGATAAGTTCCCTTCTTATTTCTTTGAGCTCCACTGAGTCGTTGCAATCAACAGTGAATCATACCATCATACTATAGAATAAATGTCATGCATCATCTATGTGATCGTGTATAATGTCGGCATTGTCGCTCTTGAGGAAAGTTTTCATCTTTGTCGGCTGAAAAACAACGAAAATTCGAAACCGCAACGGGAAAAGAAAATTGTTAGTCTAACCGTGGAGGGTCGCGTTTGTGGGAGTTTAAAATTTTCTTTGGTTTGACGATGCGGGGCGGGGGGAGAGAGTGAGAGAAGTAGAGGGAAAGAAGAGGGCCGGACGCGCTCTCTCATCCCCCTTCCTTTTAAGGCCCTTTCACCCCCGATGTTTTTTTTCTCTTGCTCACCTCTGTTTGTATGTGCTACCCTAGCCTGCGTAGCTGGCGGGATTTAGCGTGGGACTGCTGTATTGTTTTGACGGCGGAGCCGCGAGAAGGGTGGGTATACAAGTCAATTTGAAGTTCCTCCCTCGCGGCTTCGCAAAAAAGTTTCCCGGGCACAAGAATTAATCCCGCCAACTACGCAGGCAAGTGCTACCCCCACTACCCGAACGTGCACCTGAAACTGCCTGTCATAAAGCTCGTATTCTTTGTTGACTACTGGGGGAAGCCAAACACGTATGCTCTTTTCTTTGCTGGCCACCTAAAGCTCTTTTTCGTTATAGACCACTGGGGAAACTAATCACAATAAACTTAGTCCATATTTCTCCTTTCAGAATGGCCACCTCAGCTTACGAAGCCTCCTACAAAAAGTACTTTGGAGATAGATTTGATAAAATCACCAAAAACTCTTCAGATGAAGAAATTCGCAATCTTTATGATAAGTGGGCAGCCGATTATGACAAGGTATCAATAATAATAGCTTGTTAAATCAGGTTGGCTTGTTTTCTAGGGCGTCAAACGAGAGCCTAGTCTCCCTCGCAGCCGTTTTTTGGATGTCACGCAACGCTCCCATCCAATAAACGGCTGCGAGGGAGACTAACGAGAGCCTTGCACGTCCCGTGTTTATGCAACTTCCTTGAAGCATTCCCTTTAACAATAATTCAAGTTATCTATATAGAGTGTACTTTAATGTCACAACCAATCTCTTTCTAGATTTCCAATAAGATTCGTCTATATTCACCTTCCCCCTACATGTAGGCGGAAAACGACGAAAAAAAAAACATACCCCTCGTATTGTGCCCTCTCTGGCATGGTTGTCGTGCCGGAACAAAAGCAAGAGATTATTCGCTCTTGGTAAAAGCTATCAGTTATAGCGTGAAGATTACCTTAGAGAACACAAACTTGAATGTTCATTTAACTAATGATGGAAGTTTTCTTCTTTTAATGGTATGCCCGTGCAGGAAAATGCTGCCGCTGGCGGGTGCTTCAATAGGCCAGTCGCTGAATGCTTGGACTCCGCCGTGCATCAAGTCTTTCCCAGCGCACCGAAAAATCAGCTGAAAATCCTCGATGCTGGAGCTGGGACAGGGCTGACAGGGTTCGAACTTCATAAACTCGGCTACACTAATATTGACGCTCTAGATATCTCGCAAGAGATGCTGAAGGTAGCTAAGGAGAAAGGCTTGTACAGGAGATATGTCTGCTGTTCTCTGACGGAAAAGAAGATTGATGAGTTTGAAACAGGCGAATTTGATGCTCTGATTGCCACTGGTGTCCTAGTGAAAGCTCATGTTCGTCCAGCGGCTTTTGTAGAAATGATTAGGATGGTGAAGGCAGGTGAGTCTTGATCCAGAACCACCCACCGTAAACAGTTGTCCCTTGCCAACGGAAGAAATCAATACCGCAGATTGTTTTCGATTGGTTTTGTCTATGTCTTAGTCTGAATATTTGTACCCTAGCAGAATCGACAGAAAGAGAGTGAATAGAGAGCTTAACCATAGCCTGCGAAAACAACCGTTTCTCCTCGCTCTTCGCCGCTGGGGACGGGGAAACGTCCCCAGCGGCGAAGAGCGAGGAGAAACGGATGTTTTCGCAGGCTAGCTTAACCATCGCGTTTACGTCAAACGGCAAAGGCGAATTTACATCATGTGACCAATTTCTCCTTTACTTGTCGTTTACTTTTCATTATTTCTAGAAATAAATTAGTAGTTTCTCGTAATTTTTTATCCATAAGAATGGTCTTAAACTGTCTTTATCTGCTCATTTTAATTCTAAAATTCTCAATTTTAATCTGACTTTTGCCGTTTGCCGTATCCCCGTGAAGCTTAAACTCTCTATTGTCGACATGCGCCGGAACGCTAGCTACCTACCTAATTCTCCTTACGTGATTGTAGTTCAGCGAGTAGAAAATATTCTATCAGACATTTACACCTTTTAATCCGTTTTAGAGGCTACTAACAAAAAGGTTGACTTTTTGACAAACTCTCATCTCAGGATCTCAGGTGTAATTCTAGCTAGCCTGTTGACAAGCTCTGTGGACACCAACCGGAAGGCCCTGTCGCCAGCGTAACTAGCAGTTTTTTTGGAGAGTGCGCGCGTGAAGGAGCGGGGAATAGAGAAAAGACGCGAGGGAGCTTAAGCAAAGACGTTTTTGAGCTATGAAAGTCAACCGGAACTGGATGTTTTTCCTTGGACAATGGCTTTGCCCAAATTTTCGGGCAAGTCGTGCGAAAGAGTAAAGACTACACCTAGTTATACAACGCTGGGGGTGTCAAGGCGAAAAAGCCTAACTTCCGGTTTGGGTGCGTCGCTCAAGAAAACGTTTGCAGAACTCCCCAATCGCGGCTTCTACGCTCGTCCACGCTCGTGCTGCCCCAAGAACTGCCAACTACGCAGGCTATATTGCCCTTCTTTCTAATTTGAATATGCCCCTACTATGAGCTAAGTTGCAAAATATAAAATACAAATTGCTTCTTTATACCAAGTCTAACGTTATTTTTATCGTTGATAGGTGGACTCATCTGCTTTACCCTTCGGTTCAGTGAGGTAGATGACTACCAACCGAAGATGACGGAGCTAGAGGAAGCTAGAATATGGGAAAAACTCTGCCACAAGAAGATCCCTCATTTTGACAAACCTGACATGCCCAGTCACCTCTTCGGCTTCGTGTATAAAGTTTTAAAGAAATGAACTTTAAATAGATTAAGTATAATCAACTGAGTTGATACTGAGCTTTAACAATTAAGGTTTTATTTAAGGGCTACTAGCGTGAGTAATCACAAAATTCTAAAGTTGTTCCTCTTACGCCACGTTGCTTCGGCACAGATTACATTATCCTTCCTTGGCACAACGTAACTCATGTACATTGACTTGTGTGACTTCTCAATTATCACAGCAGCTGTGGCTATAATTCCGAAATAAATGAAGAGGTATGGAAAATCTCTGGAATTGGAAGTTTTTAAGGTGGCACCGCATAGTTGGCCACTTACGAGAGGTGGTCGCACAGGGAGGTTCGACTTTATTATAAATACCCTATAGTATTGCATAGGGCTGCAAAAGGAACAATGGAAAGTCGTTTTGCACTACCACTCGCAGTTTTTCAATCGTATATGCCCGAGAAAAGAAAATAGCCAGGCGTGTTTCAAAACGCTTGAAAGCCTTGCTTACGACTTCTACGATGGTTCATTTAAGACAGGCTGCGTCTTTCTGGTTCAATCTTTCACGTTTTATCAGGAGCTCATGGTTTCAGGTTCTGAACATCCTCATCCGCCGAGGGGAGGTACTCAACAAAAAGTTTTTTTTACAGCTCCGGGATCCCCGAGGTCCATGCCCTTACCTATTTATACACCATTTTCTTACAGAAATTGTCATATGCAATCGTCTCCCATACTTTCAGTCCATTGAAATGTGGTACCTCCTTTACATACCTACTAATTGGAAGTCTCCTTATCGACACTTTCTCCCATGGAGAGCTACTCAAAGAATTCTTATACTGGGAGGCTCCGCCCCGAGGTCTAACCCTTTATTGAATTTTTATACTATACCATTTGTGACAAGAAAAGGTCCCCTTTCCTTAGCGCTCTCTTAAAATATGCTACTTTATTCCTGCCCTATCGTAGTCTCCCTCCCAGCCGTTTTTTGGATGGACATCCAAAAAACGGCCTCGAGGGAGACTAGGGCTATCGTAACGAAATCGAAAAATTTAAGTGTTTATTAACGCTGTTTGTGTTTCATTTTTGAAAACGATACTTCCTTCACACAACTTCCTTCACACACTTACTCTTGGTTTGAGGTCTTCTTGTCAAGTAAAAAGAATAAAAATGATACAGCCATAATGTGCACCTCTGAAAATATTAGTCATAGGTCTTTAAAAAAACCTAGACGACGAAGTTCTCTACCCGTCATATACTGTGGGATCCGTATACTGACCTTCCTGGGTGGAACCTCGGCGTATAAAATAGAGCACCCCCCCCCCCACATCCAGCTGAAATATTGAAAAAAAGAAAGAAAAAACAATATAAAAAACAATTATAGTTAAACCAGGAGCTGATGATTAAACTTCTCGATTTTGCTGATCAGCACAACGCGGTTTTGGCTGGTCATACCAGCCTTCTTCAGGTTTACCGATTTTATGATAGGAATTACAATATATTATATGAATTAGATTGATGGAGAAGTGTCGTAATAAAATTGATCCGTGGTGGAAATTGAACCCTGGTGAGGGGGGGGGGGCGTCCGTTTTCGAGTAGGTGCCCCTGAACAGCGAGATGTAAAGCGAAACGAGTCAGGATCATAAAATATACCGGGGTTCCCTATTTTAAACCGGGTAGAGATGAAAGTCAGGGTTTGAAGACCTCGGTTGCGCATCGCTATCTCTCTTCCCCCCTCTCTCCTGGGGGGTTAGGGTTGGAATAGCTGTCGACCTAACAACTGCTAGCCAACAGTAACTTGAAGTGTCTCAATATTGTTTTCAAGTTCTTTTCATACTGGCACGCTGACACTTTCGAGAAAGTAAATCACCAAGCTGTCAGCAGTGAACCTAAATTAAATTATATTTCAAAATCGCAGAGCATAATGCATGCAGCAGACATCATTTCATTCAGTAAATGCACTATGGACTTTGTGTTCGGGGTTGTTACGAAATCGCCTTGCGCGTGTCATTTACCAACAAAAATCACGCAATATCTAGTCACGCTTTGATTGAGAATTCATTTTTTTGTCGATTTCGGAATTGCATTTTAATGTCTTTGGTGTATTAGAAACAAAATACTTATTTCACATTTGTGTCGTAGCGCTGCGCTCTTTTTTTTATTGGGATACTCAACAGTAGCATCTGTGGAGGAGAGAGTTTCTTGCGAATGAAAAATTTCGACCGTGGAAATGTGTAGGATTTGATTCCGTTTTGTTCGTTATTGTTTTCCTTTTCTGCCCGCCGCTAGGGACGAAACGTCCATAGCGGCGCGGCTAGACAGAAATTTGTTTATGCTTTTGTATTATTTTATGTTGCCTCTATCACCCCTCCCTCTAAGCACCAGAAAGACCACACGTGCAAATAAAAATAGCACGTTTACGCAATCGGCGATTATATATTCAGAGAGCATCAGACCCGAAAAACAATTACACTCGCCGATCGAGATAGGCTGAAATCGTCCAGAAAAGCGGGGAAACGTCGATTAAACTCGAGAATACATCAGTGCAAGACGGTAAGTTGAATTATATACTCTGAAGTGTTAGCTTTGACATTTTTCATAAATATTAAAGCTTTATTCTCGTCCTTTTGATACAATAATATTCAAACCTGTTATGTTGTAGCACAGCCCAAATTCAAGCTTTTTTGCCCGAATTTCAATATCTCGGAGAAATGTGAAGTGTAGAATCAAGTCAACAAGCCTAACAGTGCTCAGTAGCTTGAAAACTAGAGTTAAGTCCTTTCTGATTCTTGTGTACTGTAAAAAAACATAACTTCCTCGGGCCTCTAGCGATTATTTTTCGTGATTAATCTACAGTCGTAACTTGCTGTGTACCGGTTAATAGATTTATCGTAAGCCAAGTACAAATAACTATTCAAAATTGGGTAGAAAAAAAATTGTTTTCTGCGATGTGCTTTGCACCTGAAAGCACCTTAGCGCTTGCCAAGTGGAAAATTACTTGAATTGCACGTGCTGTGATTTTACTTCATTCTCGTAATTTTACGACAGTAGAATTCTATGTTTATGTAATCCCTTTCACTTTCATGTGATATTATCATACATAAGAATTCAATCTCTTTCTGTGCCAATCTGCAAGCTTTAGCTGCGGTCTTTACGTAAGGTATTTATAATCTTAACATTGCTGGTTTGTCTACTTTTTTTTTGCTATGCAAATCACGTTTTGATGACAACCGGTGGAGACACATTTTGAAGTCTTTGGATGGGGTTTAATTGAAAGCTGAGAATTAACCAAAATTTTATTTGTCCTCCGAGGGATGATTTTTCTTCTTTCGTGGTTGTTTTTGCTGTTTTCTTGGGTTTTATTTTTTCCTAAGATCTGAAAATATAGCTCACGGCTGACACCCGGGAGTTCGAAGACATCTGTCACGCACCCGGCATTGCGTGACAGAAAGAGAGGGGCTCCCCGTGAATTGCCCCGAGAATGGCTAACATGATGTACTCAGAAATCGCCAATAATAAAACCTATAACTGAGATTAGTCGAAAAATCCTCGTGCAGCCCCCTAAGAATTGTGTAAATTTATTTGGCGATGTACAACGGCTAGGAAGATGTCTCTGTATTTATAAGCCGGAGGAGGATAACTTGGGATGTGCAAGGACGAGGTATAGTCGTCGTCTTTTTAAAAACAACCAAACATAAGGCAAAAGTTTGCTTTTATGAGAAATTACAATGTGAGATTTCATTCTAGAAATTAAGCTCATTTCAAAACAGCTTGTGTCCTAAGCAGTTTCACAATAGCTATTGTGCAACTTGATTTCAGGGAACCGGCATCCATAATTAATTAGTCCTTTTGTCTTTTCAATCTTTCAGAATGGCCACCTCAACTTACGAAGCGTCGTACAAGAAATACTTTGGTGACAGATTCGACAACATCACCAAAAACTCTTCAGATGAAGAAGTTCGCAATCTTTATGATAAGTGGGCAGCCGATTATGATAAGGTATCAATAATCTCCTTAAGCTACAACCACGATAAAAACTCTTGGGACAACTGACTCACTTTCCTCACCCCTCCCCTCTCCGGTGAAGTAAAACGTATTAGAAGGTATTGCATAAAAGTTGCTCTTTGGGTTTTTTTTGTTTGGTTTTATCTCTGGGGCATGATTTTGCAGAAGACAGATTGAATTGTACAATCATAGTGGCTTTGTTTTTTACATGTTCCATTCAGGAAACATCCAGAGCAGGCTTGAGCTTCAACAAGCCTCTGGCCGAATGCTTGGACGCCGCTGCGAAGCAAGTCTTTCCTGAAACTCCGAAAGATCAGCTTAAAATCCTCGATGCTGGAGCTGGGACAGGCCTAACAGGAGTCGAGCTTTATAAACTCGGCTACACGAATATCGAAGCTTTAGATATCTCACAAGAGATGCTGAACGTAGCTGAAAAGAAAGGCGTGTACAAGAGATTTGTTTGCACTCCTCTGACAGAACAAAGGATTGCAGAGTTCGAGACCGGCGAATTTGATGCTCTGATTTCCGCAGGTGTCCTGGTAAAAGCTCACGTTCGTCCAGCGGCCTTTGTGGAGATGATTAGGATGGTAAAAACTGGTGAGTCTTGTCTAAGTTTCATTTTGTTTTCGTGGTGAGAGAGAGAGAGAGCGTAGCTGGAGTGCTGCTATAAGGGAGCTGAAGCATTGACAACAGCGACGGTGGCGAAAACGTCTCTTTTTTAAAAAACGAAATCGTTTTTCTTCAATTTTTGCAGCAGTTAGTCCAATTTGCTGAAAATGTCGAATGTACACAAATATCCGATTTCTTGCACTCAAGTTTAAGTGAAAGATAACGTCGTCGTGACTTCACAAAACGTGATTGATGGCAAAGAAATTTACAAATGAAGTGTGCCACACGTGGAAAATTGATGTTCTGGGCCCGGTTCCTGAGAGGCCGATTAGCACTAATCCAGGATTATAAATTGGTTTTGTTTTTGTATTTTACCTTCCAATGTATTTTATTTGTGTTATGATATCTTTATGATATCCCAGAGTA